CTGGTAAAAAAGATTGCTCTAAGATTTGAATATGATGTACAATGAAGCAAAAAGTGGCATTCAACTTCTGCACTATTTGAAGAACATAGAGTACAGAGTCTGTCTGATAAAGCCTCCCCCTTATACAGTCCTGTTTCTATTCTTATACGTGACACACCGCATCTAAATAGAGCAAGTATAGAACGATGACACTTTGGGATATCCATTGTTACATATTTCTCGGTTTGAAAATCAGATTTTACGGTGTAAAGACGAATAATGACCCCCATCGAATAATGACCGGGGGTCATTTTTCGACAGCGAAAAATGACCCCCGGTCATTATTCGACGTAGAAAAATGACCCTTTTGCCCGTAGAAAAAGCTTCATCACCCTAAAAGTTTGCAGAACCCACGTGAAGAAAAATGACCCCCGTAGAAAAATGACCCCCTGTAGATTAATGCTAAAAATTTTAGGGGGTAAAAAAAAAATTTAATAAAGAAGCATATTGGCCAAAATGCTCACCTGAGCTTATTGGGAATAAACTGATGATATGTTGATCTCATAACATTATACAATTATAGCTATATTTTAAGGTCAATGCAATGATTCAGAATCTAAAGGAGTAAAAGATTTATCAAGCCTTAAGGGTTAGGTAAACATTGTTTTTTGATGGTGGAAATCATCGAACTGACAGAAAAAAATCAGCAGTATTATATATATTATTATATCCTCCGCTTGAAAAGCGGGAGGGTATATAGTGATCGGGATGTCCGTCCGTCCGTCTGTTACGCTTTGAGGTATCCATCTCTTATCCGCAAATCCTCATATATAAAAAGATGTGTTTGTGAAACAGCTATGCCCCTGTATGGCAACATAGTGAAGATTAATCTTTTCTTAAATGCAATTTAAATATATTGATACCCAAAGTAGGGTCTTCTCAGAAGAAATACAACTGCAAAATAGGAAAGCCCTAGCACCACTTGTTCAAAAGTAATGGCTAAGGATAAGTTTTTGAAAGGTAGGTCAAACTCAAAGGTCAAAGTTGATGGTTTCTTAAGAAAATGTTTAATGTAACAAGGATTACATATGTGAAGTATGAATACCCTACCCCTTTCCGTTCAAAAGTTATGACCAAGGTAAAAAAATCATAAGTACGGAAATCTCCAAGGTCAAGGTCAAAAGGTCAAAGTTTTTAGTATCCAATAAAAGGTAATGCCAAAAAAACTACATATCTGAAGTATGAGAGTACTAGTATCTACCGTTTGAAAGTTATGGCCAAAGTAAAAATTTGGCATTTTTGTGTAAAATGGGACAAACTCCAAGGTAAAGGTCAAAAGGTCAAATTTGGTAGTACCCAAAGTAAGGTCTTGTCACAAGGAATACACATATTAAATATGAAAGTCATAGCTCCAATAAATGAAAAATTATGGTCAAGGTTAAGGTTTTGCGGACAAACAAACCACCAGATAGACAGATTGACATACAGACGGACACGATAAAACTATATACCCCCGAATCTTCGATTACGGGGACATAAAAAGAAATGGTCTTCAATTAACTTTTCATATTATGATACATTATAAAGAAGACGTTACAACAATAAAAATGTTTGTTCTGATTTTCATATTAAATTCTCTGAAAAATATACTCAGAACTGAGTAAAAGGGTGGAGTAAATCAAGAATTAAGGTAGAACCTATGTCGGAAAAGTCTTTGTCACAAGATTTTCAAACTTTTCAAAATGATAAATTAGTACTTGCTTATCAATCAGTTAAAATATCATGATATGTTTCCTTGTTTTTTAATCTAGAACAAGCTGTGAAACTTGGTATGGTATTTACATACTGCGACTTCACATTTCAAATATTTTTAGGGGTACTTGTCATAAAGGGAGTATGAAAAATCACAAAAATACTTCTTCAAACATCGTCGTTTATAAACTTTGTTAACTGAATATTTTATCAAGAATAATTTCTTTTTTATTCAATTAGCATAAAAGATAAGTCCACTATTAAAAAAAAAATAGTCAAATGAACTCTATTACTTTTAGTAAATTATGCACCCTACATTTGTAAATATTTTTTAGAAGTCTTTGTCACAATATTTTCAATCTTTAATATGATGAAGAACAAAGCCAAATGATTACAAAAAGTGATTAAAATATATACCTTTTCCCCTCTAACTAATGCTTTAATCATGGCGAAGTAAATTATGATATGATAGTACTTGTGTGAAGGCTTAACTTCATTTCAATATTTTATCTAGAGCCTCTTTCAGAATTATTGAAAGGTATAGAGTTTTATTTATATTTTTGCTTTTCATTTATTATTATTTTTTTTGTTTTGATTTAACGTAATGTTCTTTTTTTGGGGGGGGGGGGATAAAAATTTCCTCCTCTTTCATTGTCAAATAGGATTTGCCAAACTTAAACAAGCTAAAAGTTGAAATGACGGAAAATTTTATTTTTCCTATAAAAGAGTATTTAAACCTGATTTTTGCATGGTTTGATTTCTCAAAACAAGTGGAATATCATTCTTTAAGCAACCATTAATAGGAGGAATATTAAAAAAAAAATTATTTACTTGACAATTAAAGAATCTCTTTTCAAACACAATTTTAGTATTGAAAGACTACGTGAATCTCTTAATTATTTCATACGACTTTTTGTATTTTTCTGGTTACAGAAAATGCATAAAATTAGTTTCTCTGTAAAAAAGATATCATAGAGCGTATAATTTGTATCACTTTAAAGGGGGTCATTTTTCAATGGGGGTCATTATTTTAAAGGACTAACATATAAAATAATGACCCCCTAGGACTTTTTTTCTACAAAAAATGTTTTCTACGGGTGGGGGTCAATTTTTGTCGTTGAAAAATGACCCCCCGGTCATTATTCGATGGGGGTCATTATTCGTCTTTACAACGGCTCGGTAAGTTCTAAGTTTTGGGACGTTTTGGAGATCTTCATTCCATGCGTTTAAAAATTTTCGACGAAGTTTTTCTTCCACTATGGTTAAGTTTTACCAAATTTTAAAGTTGGCTATAACTTTTGAACAGTTGGTGCCAGGGCTTTCATACTTTACTTATGTTTTCTTCTCAGAAAATATCTTGGGTAAAAAAAATTTTGATCCTGATTTTGGAATTTGACCTACTTTTGAACGTTGGTCACAGGTGCTTAGGTTCGACCTACTTTTGAACCTTGTATATAAACTTTTGAACAATTGGTGCTAAGGCTTTTATGTTTCACAAATGTCGTTTCTAGTATTTTAGAAGTTCTCTATTCAGCATAGACCGACATTTTCACTCACCCACACAAGCAAAATCTCATCTAAAAATAAAAAAGTAACATAAGTAACATGTGAATATGAAACTTCTGGATTTTGGCTTTGAAATTTCACTGAATGAAAATTTTTATACAGTTGTTTTGCGTGTTGTATCATTCATAGAATTTTCGATACTTGTTCTGCACACAAAAATTTGGAAGAATATTTCTTAATTTGATTTAATGTGGCTCCAGCATGTTTATTTCAGCTAGCAGCTGTACGATTTTCAAATGCAAACACTGAACAGTTTCCCCCTTGTACATGTAACAACCATTATATAGCTCTTTTATAAATAACATAAGGAAAATTTTGCTCTACATCACCGCTTTACTAGCAGCCTCTGAAACACAGTAAATGTATAGTCAACGAGGTTAAGATGTACTAACAATGGACTTAGATCGATTAGTACACGTACCCTCGTCTTTGATCTACATGTAGTAACTTATCACCATGGTACCTGAAATATTTCTAACAATATCCAAAATCTAGGTAATTCTGTCAAGGGCGGGCTCATATGGCGAACGAATGTGTTATACTGGTAAAAAACGACATGCTGTTTTTTTTTTTTTTTTTTGATGAGAAAACGTAGAGTTGGCGTTTTTAGATGACCATGCAAACATTATGATATCTCTAAAAATTAATAGTAAGACATATAATACTGGGGGTCAAAGTATTAAATCTTCATTTTTTTAAGTTGATTGTCTTCGCGCCTTTGCCGACCGTAGTTCTTAACTTTTTAAATAAAAATAATACCCAGAAAAATGAGTGCGAAAGATTACTGATTCGCTTTTACAAGATTAAAAAAGATGTATTCTATTTACTTTACTATCGTCCGTCCAGGCCATATATAATTAGTGTTATTGTATTCGATCACATGACTGAAAGTAGAAGGCGGAAGGGGGTGGAGAGCTTTTGTATCTTTGAAGATTTTAAAATTCAAAGCTAAATACTAGTATATATCATATTTTTCATCCGCTTTTACAACCCAATTTTATTCGAACATTACTATAACACCTTGATTTCACTGTACGATAACTCGAACATTACCACATCACCTCGATATCACTGTACGATAATTCGAACATTACCACAACACATCGATTTCACTTTACGATAATTCGAACATTACCACAACACCACGATATCACTGTACGCAATTCGAACATAACAACACCTCGATTTCACTGTACGATAATTCGAACATAACAACACCTCGATTTCACTGTACGATAATTCGAACATTACCACAATACCTCGATATCACTGTACGATAATTCGAACATTACCATAACACCTCGATATCACTGTACGATAATTCGAACATTACCACAACACCCCGATATCACTGTACGATAATTCGAACATTACCACAACACCCCGATATCACTGTACGATAACTCAGAGTGAGAGGAGATAACCAGCCTTTCAATGAAGAATGGACATTAATTTTCAACAGTATATTCTGATCAAAATCTGCCGTCGTCAGTAAAAAACAGTGTAGAGGTACTGTGAGAAATGAACTCATTATAAATGTTTGGATAAGGAGGGGAGGGGCTTCCAGGTTATAGGTGCCTAGTCAGGCAAAAAAAAAAATTAAATTAAATTAAGGTTTCCAGATCTTCTGATTTATTCAATAAAATATGTTCAAAAACAATTTATTCGTCGGTTTTTGCATACTTTATTTTTTCTGTCAAATTTAACAACGACTGATAACAACATAGACTATAAATAAATTAACAATATATGAGCTCCTTATTTTTCTAAAAGAGCTCCTCATTGAGTATAAGTAGAATAAAAATTCATCAAAAACCCATTCTGCAAAATACTGCCTCGTTGTAGAGTTTCCATGCACCAACAAATGAGTAACCATATGTTCCCCTGCCTTCTCATTTCACTCGCATCCGCACTCCTCAGCCACCATGTTCTTATGGTGTTTAACAAGAATCTGGTCATCTTCAAAATAAAGAATGCTTAATGGACTTAAAGTCTTTGGTACACAGCACGGTAGCGGAAAGTTTCCTTTTGCCGATTGTCGCATTAGACTCTGCATCATTGCATGGTTTGTTACTGCTCTTTGCTGCGTCACACTGGTGGAACAAATTCCTTTACACACCCTTGCGTTGTAAGTCTTTGGAAAAATAATATATTGTCCCCAGCCAAGGTTTGAAAAGCTTATACGCATGTTGGACAAGTGGCAGTCCCTCCTCCGTCGACGGGCTGCTCTTTTGTTTCGTGAATGGTGTTCATCAGTTATCTCCTCAGAAACATTACTGATTTTTGATAGTTTGTTCAACTGTGTTCTGTCATTTGAAAATATCAGTAATATACTATCATCTCTTGAGACTTTATTTTGTTTCACCTCTACATGCAAGTCTTTCTCGATTTTTGATATCCAAGGTCGAACGAAGGCTGTGATATCGTAACTATTAGATGCACTGCACTGAAATGTTCGAATGGTTTTATTCATACGCTTTATTTCTATTTTCAACCATCTCCTGCGAAATGTGTGAGTATTAAACCGAAGTTCCACGTGGTGCACATCATCGGTTGGTGGAAGTGCCCGGATATTGAAAACATCATCTAAAGAAGAAAGAACTTCATGAGTCATCCAAAGAATTTCGAAGCAAGCATCTATACATTCTAAACAAGATGTATTTTTTAACAGAGCTGCCATATACTCGGTTATGACCATGGTTTATTCAATATGTCATTGGCTGAATCATTCAGAGGAACATATAACATTTTGTATAACATAACTTGTATGGAACGCCATCACTGCCTTATAGCATAAATCTATGCATTCATTATGTCAATCTATCATTACGTGATGTGAACATATTTTTACGTTATATCAATTTTTTATGGGGTGATGTAAAAATATCTTTACATCATGTCAATGCTGCATTACATGAAGTAAACACATTCTTCCATTATGTCAGCACTTTATAACTTGAAGTCGGAAGTTCATTATGTGAAGTGAAAATATGTTTACATTGTGTTAAATCTTTATTACGTGAAATGAATGTTTGTTTATATTATTTCATTTCTTTAATATGTGAGGTCAAAATTGCATTACGTCAAGTAAATTGTGTTTTATAATTAAACTTATCATTACATGAAGTCAAAAGTCCATTCCTTTTTGAGAATGTATATGTCTATTATATCAAAGCATTATTACGTGATATGGATTTATCTTTATTTTACGGCGAGAGCATCATGATGTGAGGTGAACACATCTTACCTTTATGTCAGTGCTTTATTACGTGGTGTAAAAAGTGTATAACATAATGTGAACATATCTTTATATTATATCAACACTTTATTACATTATGTCAAAACTCCATTCCGAGATGTGGATATATAATTACGTTATGTCAACTCTTTCTTATCATATGTGATTTAAAAAATATCCTTATATTGTGTTAACTCTTTATCATGTTGATTCCAAAAGTTCATTACCTGATGTGAAAATACATTTACATTATCTGAAAGCTGCATATCTAGTATGATGAATGTTGACGACCGTGTTTTAATGACTGGTAAGAGGGGGGGGGGGTCCCGATTGAGTAGGACGAATTATAGACACATAATATCAGCCCCCCCTCTTTTCCCAGACATAACCTTATTTTAGAAAATGTAATGTTCATTGAAAGTACAGCCCCCACCCCCAGTTATTGTTGAAGTATAGTCCACTAGGGGTAATGTAGTATAACTGAAAAAATATAGGACTGATCGAAGTCGTACCCCCTCTCCGAAATAGGATTTTCGGGCTTAGACAAATTTTTTTGGCTTGTCAAGTTTTTTCGGGTAAATAATTTTTTTTTCTGGCTGACATCCTTTTTCAAATAAATGCTATGTCACAGAATTAGTTACTGTAATTTTTTCAACCATTCCAAGACCAGAATTCTGTTACAAAAATCTACCAGTCCCTCATCTAAATCAATTGAGCATGCATGGGCACATATTTGTGGCGCATATGGGAATCTTGAAAAAAGAAGGGGGACGGTATAGAGTTGGTGACCAAAGGGGGAAAGCGGAAAAACTCTCCGGCAGGCTTTATAGTTTTATATAGAAAAAGTTTTCAATTTAATTCAGCTAAACTTAATGTGAAAGTAATGCAATGACCTACAACGTAAAACTAATAAATTTATTAATTTCATGTATATTTTGGTGACTAAAGATGGTAGGGCGGGATTTCTGCCCCCCCCCCCTCCCCAACCCGCAAGTGCACGTGCGTTATAAAAGCAATTCAAAAGAAAAAAAAATGCTGCACGACTCATATTTGATTTATTTAATTATCAGATAAAAGTAAACGCCATTGAATTTCGACGCGTGGCTTTAATTCACAGTCGCAGTGTTAAGGCTTTGCACGTTTCAAGATTGTCAATCATTTTTCGCTTAATGTTTTCATTTAAAGATGCAATTCCCAAATCGCTGAGAATTTATTTTATGACAGTTTTCTCTCCCGCCATTTTTAGTGCTTTCGGAATGCGGAAAATACGTTATGCTCATATAAAGGCCGAGGATACCCGTGTTCGCATAACGTAATAGTGAATCGACATAATGTAGAAGAGTGCGCACAGTATGACATGAGCTTTTCACATCTGATATGAGATGAAATAGCCTAAGATACATGTATGCTGACAAGAGGCTTAGCATTTTTGACACAATGTAAAGACACAATGACATAACGTAATAACGATTTGTCAAAAAGTAAGGGCAAATTCACATCATGAAATTGATTCACGTCGTCATGTAGCATATTGAGGGCATAAAGTAGTAAAAGAATTGACCACATGTGACATTTTTTTCAGATCATGTAATGAAATTCTGACATCGTATTATAACGACTTGATATTGAGTTAAAGATAAATTCACATCATGTATTGAACTACTTAGACCAAATAGTAGAGAGTGCACATAATGTAATAATGAGTTGAAAATATATAAAAACATTTTTACACCACGTAAAATTGTTTTGACTTAATGTCATAAAGAGCTGATATAATGCAATGGAAGATTGGCGCAATGTAATTAAAGTGCAAGTTAATGCCATAAAGACTAAACATAATGTAATTGAAATTTGATATAACGCAATAGTAATGTGTGTAATTGTCATGAAGAGTTAACAATATGTAATGAAAAGTTGACACAATGCAATAGTAGTGTGGGCTAATGTCATAAAGAGTTGACATAATATAATGGAAGGTTGACATAATGCAATAGTACTGTGGGCTAATGTCATAAAGAGTTGACATAATATAATGGAAGGTTGACATAATGCAATAGTATTGTGGGATAATGTCATAAAGAGTTGACATAATGTAATGTAAGGTTGACACAATGCAATTGTTGTGTTCTGCTATAAGGCAGTGACGGCGTTCCATAACTTGCCTACGTCACAATGAGTTACGTCAAAAACGTATTACTCCGCTTGACGTTACTTTTAAAATATTGCTCAATTTGAAGCCTTTTTCCGGAGGAAATATTGTCTCATTGTCTACACTCAAATTAAATTATAAGGAATGAAGCTAATTTCAACCTATGTTATCCGATATAACAAAACTTGGGGCAGTTTACGCTTTCTTATAAACCGCTTCGCGGTTTATAAAGCGTAAACTGCCCCAAGTTATGTTATATCGGATAACATAAGTTGAAATAAGCTTCATTCCTTAAATACTTGTAAAAAGATATTTTTTAAAAAAAAAAATAATAAAAATTTTACTGCATTTGCTTATGAATTGGATTCATCGATGCCATAACGTCAATGATTAATGATAAGAAATTATTGTCATCAAAATGATGATGTAGGGCTCTCAAGGTGAACAACGTGCTGATACCCTAGATCTTTGTCGTGATAATGCCTATGATTTCTGCAGAGTAGGTTATGCTGCACCATGTGCACGGCGCGGTGCAAAATGTAGAAAAATAATTCTTGTGTCATTCGTAGGTGTAGCATATCCAAATCAATTTTTACTTGTTGAATTTTTTTCAATTTTTATTCACCATGCACTTTTATCACGTCGTTTTTATCCGGAAAATCATGACGATTGCCTTTCGTATCTTACACACTCCCAAGATGGGGAGTATCTATTGTTAACTCTTTTTATTTAAGCATGAATTATCAATTATCGGATGCGAAATGATAATGTAATTGAAACATGATAACAGCGATTAAAACTTAGTTTAAAGCAAGTTTTTAAAATATTTTACTCATGATTTTGTTCATGTTATCTTTAAGAATTATTTTACTGAACTAATAAAAAAATAACATCTCATTTCCCCATATGCACTTTCTAACACAACCACCAATAGATCGGCCGCTGCTGCGGCCGATAATAACTTTTACAACAAATCAATGTAATTAAAAAAAAAAATGGAAACCCCATAAATAGGGTTAAAATGACGAAAAAATAAACCAGCAATACCAGACTGTCCATAAACAAGTCCAACTACCAGGTCTCGACTATGGATGAATCAAAAGTTGTTTTGCATTTAATAACAGATGGTCATTCATCTTTTAGATAGGATAAACACGTCAATAAAAGGTTTTACTCTACCTTTCCATAATTGTCGTTATTTTTGAATAAGTAAGGCAGCACTTGGTCTATAACTAAATTTACAGCTACTTACATGTAACTTGAACTACCTATGTTGAAGTCGCCAATTACGGGTTGTCTTAGCTTAAAGCTATGAATGCTACGATTTGCGTCAGTTAAGAAAAACCACTGTTCATTTATAGGCCATTCTTTATTATCAGTTACAACATATTGAAAATCAACATTAACGTTTTTATTCACTGCAGCAAGGATTACATAAAAGATGTAGGTGTAAACAACTTAGCACTTGTCATCGGTTAAAACTCGGAACTTATTCACAGGTTCATATACTGTACTAGTACGTGTGTATCGACTTATCAATTTCAATAAACCATGAATTATCAGTCAAAAGCACACAAGATTTTGATAATTTGTTGAATAAAGATGAATTAAAATGAATTAAAATATTTGATAACAATACTGGAAAACATATTCGAAATAACTATTTACTTAGAATTGTATAAAAGTATTCTCCAACGGGAAATTAAAAATGTAAAATTAAATTTTAAAGAAGACATTTTATACCTATCCATTTGTAACTAGCATGACTAGGTTAGAGAGGATTATGTACAACTGTGGGGTGGGTGTGGGATGGGTGTGGGGTAGGTGGGTCGCTTGGCTGTACATGTAAGTGAATGGATGCGTGTGTAACGCAAGTAACAATTCTTATTGATCAGTATCCATATACTCTTTATCTATCATTACAAATTACTTGCCATGACTCTCATAAAAACAGACTCAAGTTAATTATTTTATTGAAAAAAAAGGCACGTGACATTTATGAAGTCCTACAAAAGATTGCTAAGACTGTGTATTGTAATACGAGCCCGGAAGTTTACGTACGGTGGCTTTGACATAGATTAATAAGATTACAATTTAGAGGTATAAGATTTAGATTGTATATACAATCGCACATTGTATATACAATCGCACGATTTAAGGCCGGATTGATGACAATGAAAGCAATAAGGCGGCGAGTGGACAGGTCAAAGATTACGAGACGACTGATTAGCCCACTCTGAGTATACTGATACAGAAATAAGCGGATTAATAGAAAGTAAATGAGCTGTCGCTCCTAATGTCTGAAATACGTGCGAAAATTATCAAATGGTAGACGCTTTAATAACTCATAAAAGTATTTGGCAGTTGACATATTATTTTAAAATAGTTTTTCTATTTAATTAGTAATCCTTAGTATATTATATGCATTAAAACATAATCCTAAAATTACTAGAGATAATTCTTTTTTAATCAAATATCAATATTTTTTATATGAGCATGAACTATATTGACTATATTTTGAAATGTGGGCAAGAAAATTTTTCTAAACATTTATTATCTATTTCTGATATTTTCTTCTTTTACAGTGTACGATCTTTTTTTTTCTTAACAAACCCCGTGTATATTTTTTTTTTCATTTTAACGATTATATCTTTTTAAAAAAGTGAAAACCCAAGGAAAATGTTTCTTGGGCAAAAGAAAAATATACCAATGAGGCAATCTTTGAATTATTGTATGCTCCCCCTATTCCGACTCGGGGTTAAATTAATGGATCGGTAGATGGAAAAATCTTTTTGCAAAAAATTTACTCGTGTCCTGGAATGTAAAAAACAAAACAAAACATTTTTTTTTTAGTCAGGCCATTTTTAATCAGTCGTTCGGGAAAGGGAAGCCAAACAATTTTTAATTAAAGATCGCCTGAGTTACACCGGTGTGGGATTTTTTTTTAATTTTGAATTAGATTTCAATGTTGAATTTAAATCCTTTAAAAACTGTTAAAAGAAGGAAGTAATTAATATTGGACATGAGAAAATTGGAAACTGACTCTACAATGTATATTTGTTGAATTTTACGAATCCACAAACTCGCTGTTTTAATTGGACTGATCATTCAATCACATGTTTCTTCTGTCACTTTGATTTTGATCATATGTTTATTCATTTATTTTCCTTGGTGGTTTGCCTTAAATAAGTATTTAAAACAATTTAAACGGTGTATCTGAATAAAAAGAATGTGAAAGAAGAGAATGAAAAAGATTAACCAAAAATAAGTAAGATGTTTGACTGAATTTTTTTTAGAGAGATTCTTTTTGTAAAAATAAAATATAACATCTTCTCAATTTAGAGACACAAAAGTTATCTATTTTCATTTATTAACCTCTGAAAACATAAAACATTATTTTCGTGTGAAAAGTTTGTAAGACATTTCTTAAACAAGTTGTTAAAAAGGGAACCAGAGGCGTGTTTTTTTTTTTTTTATCTGTTCGTATATTTATAAAAAAAAATCTTAAAATTATGAAAAGTTTTGTCGTTTTGTATTTGTTTCGGTTTTTGAAAAAGAATTCCTTTATTCATTTTTTGAAAGAACCCGTAATATGCCTACTAATTTTTAGATTAAATTGAAAATTTGGCAAATGAGCAGGCTAATTCTACATCCATTGGCAAGACATGATTATTCTAAACTTCTTTCCATTCTTTACATATATATACAATTTGAATGTGGTAAAAAAAACAAGAATTTCATATCATTTAATTTAAAATTCTGTGAAAGTGATCTGGATGCCCATATTCAGTCTAACATCATTTAAAAGCAAAATGAGTTGCAACTTCGATGTCGGAAAGTTTTTTTTAAAATGTAATTAACTATTTAAATAGTAGAAAATAAGAACATTTATAAACTATTGCCGTTCATATTTGCGATGGAATCACTATTTATGCGCTTATAATTGAAGCAAAAATACATCATAACATTGTCGTCATGTACAATATTAATTTATTATATTATATGATACTATACATTACACTGCACAGAAATCATTTTTCTGAAACAATTTAATACTCTCTTTTAGTCTAACTCATTATAAAGGTTTAAATTACATATAAATTTATCGTAACCGCACATTTTAACAGCAAAATAAAATTCTCAGCTCATATTGCTTTAAGAAGAGGCCAAAACAAATAAATTACCATTTACTGACTGAGAGAGACGTGCACTGGTCCCAGATGGAAATACACTGGGTTACTCCACTCGTAAAATTATGCCCGATACACATCATTTCATCAAACTAGATTTTTATAAGCATCATAAAAGATTTTTTTTTAGAATTGAAGAGACTACCAGGTCCTTTTCATTTAATAGAGTACAGAGAGACAAAATATTTGATATTGAATTTTATCACATGACACTGACCTTGTGGTGCTATACTTCGTATTGTGTTGACCTCCCCTTTGATGTCAATGTTGGATTGAGCAGCTTTAGACAGGGAATGTCCGTCCACCAAATTCTGGTAAAATGTCAGCATAAATTTGTTGGCGTTTCCTAGTGATGGCATTGCTCCCTCCAAATGTTCATTTAAAGGGAAAGGTCTAGTAGACGAAAGGAGTGAAACGTGCGGGGAACTCAGTCCATGTAAATTATCTCTAAGAGTGGCACCGATCACAGAATGCAGAAGCAATGAAAATTTCGTCAGCAAAGTCAGTTTGGCCATGATGTGGAGATTTTGGATCTAACACACCTGATTTCGCATCAGTTCAATTTCAATGTGAGGTGAGAGGAGTGAGGGGGAATTAAGGGGATTACAGGCGTTCCTCTATCGCCGAAGCTATCTGTGTCACTCCGATCCCAGGCCCGTCCGACTAATCCCTCCTGATCCCCCTCTGTTGTTGTTACCATTTAAACGGGATGAAATTTTTATAATAGATACATCGATGTTGAATAGCGTTTAAGCTCTCCCAGTAAAAGGTCTACAGAGTCTTGCTTTATATAGTAGTTTGCAGAAAAATACGATACGCCCATGATGCTGGCATGCAATAGGCTATGATCCATTTATACGCTGTTATATATTCATTTATAAATTATAGGACAATCGTGACATTCTTACTAGAAACAGGGAATTCCTTGTTTTCATTCCTTGTAATTTCTTTTCTTTAATGTAATTGCAGCACTATTAGTGTGTAAATACATGAACGTCCATTTGTAGATCTATATATCGCACACCACGTGAAACACTTCTCTTTGTGTTTTTCATCGTTTTTAGTCTTAACGCTTAATTAATTTAGTGGACAGATATCGGCATTAAAGACATATGCACATGTACAGTAATATAATGGAGTTGAAACATGGTCAGCATTACAAGTATATGCTACTCAGTAGAAAATGTAAGTAAAAAAAAATATATAAATGCACGCATGTAATACAAATGATAAGGAAAAATTAAAACCATGGTAAAAAAATGGATCATATATATTTAAATGAACATATCAAGGGTAATCAATGTCTTACCGTCTTTCTTTAAATATTGTGGTCATTTGCCCAGATCTAGAGAGGGTTGGGTGAGGGTTGGGGGGGGGGGGCAGGGGGGCGGCGGAATATTACTTACTTAGTCCTCTTCGTGCTCTGAGCAGATAAGGCCCGAAATCTGCAGAGTTATTAAAGGTAATGTATATAGTAAACCAACTAAAAGCGCCATTGGACCCCCCCCCCCCCCAAGGAAGCGCGGAGTCCCCAAGAAACCGTAGATCCGTGTTAATTAGGTATGAAAAGTCATAAAATTTAAGAGAAGTCAGCGTCCCCACCAACCCCCGCGAATTAGTTTTTTTTTTGTTTACAAAAGGATTACCCCTTTTATTGCTTGTAAAGAAAGTTCTGCGTTACATTTCTTATTGACTGGGGTGGACCCCTACCCCACCCCCAGGAAGAAAAATTCTGGATTCGCACCGCGCCTAGGTCCTCAAACATTTTGTAAAGTGCTTGAGGACAGGGCACCCCCCCCCCCTTCGATATAGACCCCTGGGCTTTTTCGACTTTTTTCTTAAAAATAATCTTTCATTGACATATTTGTGATAAGACATATACCAACAAATCGAAAAATTACCTAAATCAAACGTTTTATAAAATCTACCTTATATACATTCTATACATGTTTATATATAGAGTGGGGTAGAAATTTTTATAAAATGTAAGTTTAAGTAAATTTTCTGAATTGATAGGATAGATTAAATCACAAATGTGTCATCCATGTATGATTTATGTGGAAAAAAGTCTATCTGGCCCGGGTATCTATATTGGGGGGGGGGGGGGTTCCTGTCCACAAGCACCGTTGGGATCATTCAGCAATAATCACTCTTTAATAAAAATATCATCACGGTCATTTAAGAATCGTATAAGTCGTGTTTTGCAAATCCGATATACTGTTTTGCAAGTGAGGTAGTTTGAGTCGTCCACTAAATTCGCTAAACTTTGCATCCAAGATTTAACGCGAGATGTGATTGGTCAATAGTACTTTTCTAAAACAGTTCTGACCAATCACGCTCCGCCTTTTACCTATCATGGGTTTTTCCTAAATGTCGTCTATTGTAGGCTCGGGCCTTGTCGTGAACGAAAAAAGGCCACCGTATTTATTCAAATCGGAGAGGTTGTACGTTTTAACTGCAATTAACAAAAGAAAAAGATGAAGTCCGTGAACGCTGGAAATTTAGTTTTTGTTTTTCCATCTCCGGAAAGCCTTCAAAACTGGAGAAAATGTACGAATTTTACCTCGTTTTAGTGGACGACTTAAGGTACATCGACTAGCATAACTGGATATCAAGTTAGTAAACGCTTTATAAACGAATGAGGTTTCTGTTTTATTAAAGCATATTTATTGTAGTATGATTCTAGTTATAATTTAATTGGCTGCATTGTTTTTTCTATGAAATACGAAATATTTCCGAGATCGACCCTTTGTAAATTCGGGCTGACGTTGTTTCCCTTTCTCTTTTTGAATACATATAGTGATTCCGTAAAATAAATACAGTATGTTACCGACCCCTGTGATTTTACGTTATGCCAGTATTATGTTCGATTTTACGTTATGCCAGTATTATGTTCGATTTTACGTTATGCCAGTACTATGTTTGATTTTACGTCATGCCAGTACTATGTTTGATTTTACATTATGCCAGTATTATGTTTGATTTTACGTTATGCCAGTACCATGTTTGATTTTATGTTATGCCAAGACTATGTTTTATTTTATATCATGCCAGTGCTATGTTTGATTTTACGTTATGCCAGAACTATGTTTGATTTTACATTATGGCAGTACTACTAGTATGTTTGATTTTATATTATGGCAGTACTATGTTTGATTTTATATTATGGCAGTACTGTGTTTGATTTTACGTTATGCCAGTACCATGTTTATAAACCAAAGCTTTATCCGGTCACTGCCCTAATAAAGCCTCGTGCATGTATTCCGACGTTCTAAAAGCATTGTGACGTCACATATACTGCAATGTTTACGCCATGCCGTCATAGTTTCAACTGCAGTGATGTGCCTAAATCTGTCGAAAATAGTTTTGGACGTTCAAATGTAAAATTTTGTTGCAGGATAAACAAAATACATGTTAACTGTTTTGAAATATAAGCGATATTTGGGCTCGGGTCGAAAACGTAAGAGGGCTCGGCAAGCCTCGCCCTCTATCATGTTTTCTTACCCTCGCCCAAATATCGCTTATATTTCAAGACAGTAACCATGTATTTTATATTGATTTTACGTTATGAGGATACTACGACTATGTTTGATTTTACGTTATGTCGGTACTATGTTTGATTTTACCTTATGCCAGTACTATTTTTGATTTTACGTTATGCCAGTACTATGTTTGATTTTACTTTATGCCAGTACTATGTTTGATTTTACGTTATGTCGATATTATGTTTGATTTTACGTTATGTCAGTACTATTTTTAGCCGGGCTTATTGCTCAAAGAGCGATTGCCGGCTTATGTCATCCTGTTCAAGACAGGATGTCAACCCCATAGTCGCCATTTTAAAGTTACGTGCAAAAATATAGTTCTTACTCTCAACCGCTTCTGAGATAATACAAACGCTAAATAAAGCAACAAAAATAAAACGAAGTTTTATCTATATAAAATAAACATTTGTAGTAATGACTTTGAAAACTTCATAAGTCAAAGAACATAGTTCATTAGCGTAAGGATTTTTGATAATCAGTGTTACCGTAGTTCTCTACACATACGAGGTAAAGCAGGAGAGGGAACCAGACTGGCCTGTTTGTTTACATTCAGCTGCGGTACCAGATTAAATCTGATTCTGACAAAATCGGACCGTGGTATTAGGATTGCAAAACTCACTGTCAGTGTCTTACCATTTATATTGATAGTTTTAAAATAATTTTTTCATCAGAATATAAACGTGATTCATGTAAGAAATCCATTCTACTCTGTAAATGAGCCCGGCTCTCTGTACTTCTGAGTACTTTGATTTTAAGTTATGCCAGTACTATGTTTGATTAATAAAATTAAACATTGTACATTACTGGTCCCTGTGCCTTAAGCTATGTTTTACCTTTTGTCACATCTAATTCATACGAGTATTTGGAATATGGTAACTAAATTGTGAATTTCCCATCAATGTCTCAAACTATAGCATTATTTTTTGATAATTAAAATTGCTTTCTACATAAAAATAATTTGAAATTTAACATTTTCGAAAACAAAAACAAAGAAATATAACTCTTTATGTACACTGGATATCATTTGGCATTCCATAAAAAACGAACAAACAAACAAACAAACAAACGACATTATGTGATAGGAAAACGAAATAAAAACAAAACAATATGCATATTTAGTAGGAAATAATTGTGCTAACTCATTAATTACAGTTGATTTTAACTTTTCATGAAAAAGATCGGGAATAATTTAGTCACATTTTTTTCTTTTTGAATAAAAAAGTTTTCATTGATACAATAGGATGTCTGTAAATATTGCTTCAAGTATAACACATCCCCCAACAAAGTACAGAAACCATGTCTTCTCTTTCGGTAAATCGCCTCTCCGAATAAAAACTATCTACAATGCAAAAAGAAGCGCAAGAAAATATTTCTTACAATAACTAGATCCACAAACACTGGTATTTGCAATTTTAAATAGTAAGTAAGTCCGATATATTTAATTAGATATGTAAGTTTTAAAAATGCTTTACTGGGTACAAATATAAACTTTTTATCAAACCGTTTCTAAGTCCAAAAAGAAATCTGAGTCACACTGAGTATATGCATGAAATGAAAATTGTTGCATAAAAAGAATTCAATTTCGACGAACTTGTCTCTTGACAAGCCCTCACCACGGGTCCTTATGACATTCATCATTTTAAGGATAGAACATTCTATCTAGGCCACACCCCACATAGTATCAGTCTTTGATCAATATGGTTCCACCCCTGGCCTGATGGTGGTGTCTCACTGTCTTGCAAATATAGGGTGTGATACGGATACCGAGTTGTACTCTATACATCATTTTTGTCAACAGACGTAAAGATATTACGGGGGGGGGGGGTGTATGAAAAATGTTAATAATTTTTTAGAGACTCTTACCATGAATATTTCCAGAACCACGAACCCTATAAGAGTTATGCCAAGCATGAAATGTCCGCCGCCATAGGTTCCAAGCTCTGTCCCTCGGACCATGCTAAGTATGATGCTGATCTACAACATTAAACACAGAAAGTAGCTGAAGGAAACTGGGTTTCGCAGGAACAAATTTAGGTAGAGAACTGTACCTTTCTGGGACAAAAAAAAATGTTGTCAAGATCACAGATATTCACAGTATGACGTAATTATGCACAGGTATGTAGCATCGTTTTTTTGAAAGTCGGGGGGGGGGGGGGGGGGTAGTGGCAAACTTTTTTTAATGCAAACTTTCTTTTACTTTCAATTTTTTTTGGGCATACAATACTACATTTCCTTGATATCACTTCACTGTGATAAAAATTTGGGTTAGAGTTAGCTAAAATATGGAGAAGCTGTTTTTTTTGTATATATATATATATATATATATATATATATATATATATATACATATATATATCCAAAATTTAAACAATGTCTCAGTAATCGGACAACAATATTAAAAAAAGTAAAAAGAAAACACAAAAATCCGCAGTTAAGCTTTAGCGCTTTCATTTTCAATCTTCAGAAGCTTATATATATATATATATATATATATATATATACACATGTATTAAAACACTAATTTCCGACTTATCATTAGGTGTCCCGGTAGGGCCATTCTCAAAAATGTTACAGCGTGTCAGGAAAGTGACAACGCACTAGAGTGAAGTAACAACGCGCTAATGCGTTCTTAAAAACGCACTAGCGCAAAGCAAAATACACAAGTGAAGTGTGTTTTTGAGAACGCATTGTGACCCATGGACCTCTTGTGTTATTAATTTACTTTGAAAAATTCATGGTTAGCACAAGTTAAGCCTTAACGATTGTCAATATTGGCCTGAACTCACAATGTGAACTAGTCGGTGATTGGTTTTATGGCCGCTGTGGAAATTGCTCATACAGAAACAAATCGCGAAACCAGGGCCCGAAAGTGTTGTACCCCCTTCCTCTCTTACATCCAGAAGATCGTAATTACTGGTTACCATATTCTGTTTTCTGACGTTTTTAATAGTCAATGATTCATAATATATAAAAGAAAAAATCTAGCGATGTTACTTTTTAAAAACTTAGGACGGCGTATTCGTGCCATATTGACAATGTAGAGAAAGTTTTAAAAAATCGTTTGTACGATTTAGAAAATCGTTTGTACGATTTAAAAATTGTTTGCACAATTTTTATTTCTTGTTATTACACGTAGAAGAAGCGCAGTAGAAAACTTTGCACAAGTAGGACAACGTATCCACGCATACTTTCAATGAATGACACGATGGAAAATTGATCAAGGGATATTTCAAGATGGGTTTCATTTTTTTTTTGGGGGGGGGGGGGGGGTTGCATAGATCCTTTCGCAAACTCACAGAGTCTTTGTTAGTAAACGAATGTTGAAAATGACAACAGTTAAGTTGGGACTGTTCAGACGTTAGAACATATCCGACATAGGGGATGTAGCTCTTTTCATTGAGGAAACTTGAGTCATGTACGTGGTCAATTGCATGGATACGGCTGGTTGAACTGTAAAGCTATTATGGCAGGAATTGCCGTTTCTCAAGAAGATACAAGATCCCGAGGGAGTGTGTTTGAGAAAAAGAAACAGACTAAGACGAAGATTGTACACTAACAAAGGTCCAAATTACGTATGGCACGTAGATGGATTATACAATTATACAAGATGGCAATAAACGTTCTAAAGATAGCTCAAAACGTTCCATTCGAACGGAAAATTTTACCACTTCAGTGCGCTTCATTGTATGTAATTTCTCGATTATGAAATTTATAAAACGTGGTCCTTAAGAGATGAATTTGTGAAAATTTAATAGGCGACGACAACGACAGTCTACGACACAGGCGCTTGACGTTTTTAACTCTTTCTCTTCATGAATAAAATCAAAGTACTAGTACTCAGAAGTACTGGGAGCCGGGCTCATTTACAGAGTAGAATGGATTTCTTACATGAATCACGTTTATATTCTGATGAAAAAATTATTTTAAAACTATCAATATAAATGATAAGACACTGACAGTGAGTTTTGCAATCCTAATACCAAGGTCCGATTTTGTCAGAATCAGAATTAATCTGGTACCGCAGCTGAATGTAAACAAACAAGCCAGTCTGGTTCCCTCTCCTGCTTTACCTCGTATGTGTAGAGAATTACGGTAACACTGATTATCAAAAATCCTTACGCTAATGAACTATGTTCTTTGACTTATGAAGTTTTCAAAGTCATTACTACAAATGTTTATTTTATATAGATAAAACTTCGTTTTATTTTTGTTGCTTTATTTAGCGTTTGTATTATCTCAAAAGCTGTTGAGAGTAAGAACTATATTTTTGCACGTAACTTTAAAATGGCGACTATTGGGTTAACATCCTGCCTTGAACAGATCACATAAGCCGGCAATTGCTCTTTGAGCAATAAGCCCGGCTAAAATTCCTCTACTATAATTATAGTATACAATGAAGCGCACTGAAGTGGTAAAATTTTCCATTTGGATGAAACGTTCTGATTCATGTTTTGAACGTCAATTATAACATAACGACACGCCCATTATAAGAAAGAAATATTCGTCGTAATGTTGTAGGACACCCCACTTTCCGGAACAAACAACATGATTTACACTGAAATGAAGATTTTTATTAAGAAAGAGCTACATATAGAGTCCCCGCTTCTGTAAAACTCGCATTGAAACGAATTTGTACATAATTATGATTTTATCATGTTTATTGGAGTTAGCATAATGCATGTATCAGTCGAACACGTGCTTACTCGGTGTTTATGTAGACCCTCATTTTGATTGGCTATTATATTTATGGAACCTGTTCTACAGGTATTCGATTGAATCATTTGACCGATTTTTCCTTTCTAAAGAAATGGGCGGTGTTCAAAGATAACTCAAAACGTTCCATCCAAACGGAAAATTTTACCTCTTCGATGCGCTTCATTGTAGGGTTTTTTTTATTTATGAAGAGAAAGGTTAAAAATGTCGCGCCTGTGGTCTACGAATAAAATTCAGATCCTAAAAATCTCTTCAGCTCAGGCTCAAAATAATAAATAATAATTCGACTTTGGTTTCGTTCTTAACTTGGAAATACATGTTACATTTTTATGTGTGTGTGTATTTGTGTCATAGGCGTGGAACCGGAGGGGACGGGGGGGGGGGGTAGCCCCCCTTCCTTTTTTGCAAAGATAGACATAATATCTTATTGAAAATTAGAATTAACCTTTTATGGTTGGTTTAGCCCCCCCCCCCCCCGCACTTTCAATTTGCTTCCGACGCCTATAACTAATGACTCCATAAAGAAGCAAATGAAATATTGTATTATATGTAGTATTTACACATTTTTATAATTAAATGCATGTAATCCTAAAAAATAATGAAATAAGGCCTTATCTCAGATATCGAATTGAAAAAAAACCCATAAAAGTAGAATATTGATTACGTAATATATGGTTCTATATATATGAAAGGGAGCGACGATTGTGTAATTATTTTTGTTGCTAATTACTGCATTCACACATTTAATATGACTGATATTTGGATTTTTTAAATGTCAATATCAAATGCATTATAAGAGATAAAGATTTAAAGGTCAAATTCAAAGCAAATAGATATACACATGTACTTTGTAAATTATATATATTGTAAACAATAGTTAAAAAGAAGGAATTACAATATTCGTTTAATTTTAAACCTAGTTGTTTTCTTTATTTACCTGTTTAATTAAATATCGCTAAATATCAGTCAATTTCCGGAATTCACCTATTTTGGACGTTTTCCTCCTCTTTTAGTCTAGATTTCGATATGGCCTCATCCGAGTACGTATGCGAAACTTTGCAGAAAGAACAAGTATACTTTGATTACTAATATGCAAGAGAAAAAATGACTGTACAAAAGTGCGGCCACGTCCGTTTTTAAGAAAAATGGTAGTTGAAAATATTTCGTTTTTGGATAGATGTGACTTTCCCTCCATAATAAAATCTATACTTTCAAAGAAATGTATTGTTTAAGTTTGAATCTTAAAGAAATGTATTGTTTAAATTTTTGAACCCTATGTTTTACGGTGTGACCGTTGGGGCGAGCGTAGTTACGCACTATCATAAACCTTCACATGTAGTGCCTATCATTCAAGAAAAAGAAAGAAAAAAAAAAACAATCAATCACTTCCCAAGCATCGGGATCGAGATTCCGAACTTCTCGGAAGTTTCCGACAAAATCGGAAATACCCGAACGTTAAAGTGACGAAAGTATGACGTCAGATAAAAAGTTCTGTTGACTTAGGACGCAAACAATATTTTTATGGCATGGACATTGCATTAAAATCGTTGTTTGTAATTTTTTTTCAAGTAAGTTGTTGCTATGTTTAAGCCAACATGTTGTTATGCACCGCAAAGGATTATTGGGAGTTTGGAATTTTTTCACGTGGACTTCATAAAAATTTCTTGAAACAATGTGCAGATTTCAACCTGAATTTCCTCTGCTCGTACACGTTAGTCTATTGAGCTCGCTACGCGAGCGGCGCTTCGCGCCGCCTCGCTGCGCGCGCGATTATGTAATCTATATAATTTTACAGATATTTCTTGTTTAAATCTGAATGTTATGAAAACCACATAAATATTTCTCCGGAGCAGTTTAATATGTTTTACGGTGTGACCATTGGGTCGAGCGCAGTTACGTACTATCATAAACCTACACATGTACTGCCTATCATTCAAGAAAAAGAAAGAAAAAAGAAAACAATAAAAAGAAATCACTTCCCAAGCATCGGGATCGAGATTCCGAACTTCTCGGAAGTTTCCGACAAAATCGGAAATACCCGAACCGTTAAAGTGACGAAAGTATGACGTCAGATAAAAAGTTCTGTTGACTTAGGACGCAAACGATATTTTTATGGCATGAAGATTGCATTAAATCGTTGTTTGTAATTTCTTTCAAGTAAGTTGTTGCTATGTTTAAGCCACCATGTTGCTATGCACCGCAAAGGATTATTGGGAGTTTGGAATTTTTTCACGTGGACTCATAAAAATTTCTTGGAACAATGTGCAGATTTCAACCTGAATTTCCTCTGTTCGTACACGTTAGTCTATTGAGCTCGCTACGCGAGCGGCGCTTCGCGCCGCCTCGCTGCGCTCGCTATCAAGGGACATTACATGTAAATGACGCAATACATTGAAAAACATGACGTCATAATGAGCAATCACAACAAAATTCTTGAGTCTTCCATAATAAAATAATTATTATGAAAAATTTTCAATCAATATATAACAGTGAAAAATAGTATTAATGACAAATGTTGGTATGGTTCAGGATTAATTTACATTTAAACATGTACCTCTAATATTAAACACGAGCGTCTCCTTCATAATGGACATGATATTAACTTGACTGTTCAAGAAAAAAATCTTTTTTTTTACGTTCTGTTGAAAATTATCATGCAGCTTTATTGGGTATAATTTAGGTTATACATTTATTATGCTGAATGTTGACAGCAATGTTTTGAAGACAGGTTATCATAAACATGCAATTCAAAGGTGGATCAAGGGCCGGAGCGTCCACAGGTACTTGTGGACAGGACCCCCCCTCCCTTTATATACACTCCTGGGCAAAGTATTTTTTTTCTTTTTTTGTCATGAATTATGTTTCTAGTACTTATTTACAACGTATTCCATATGAAAAATCCAAAAAAATAACATATATTTAACAATTTACTTAAAAAGTCATAACCTGGTATTATAAAATAGAGAAGGTAGGTCACTTCGGTTGTTTACATCGTACCCCTCTTGAATATCGGGCATAAAGTATCATATACCTACTACATGTCACCAAAATGTGTCATGATATCTTGTTTCGGTAGATATTTTTGTCTTTAATCGTGCCATTTAATTGCCCAGAAATTCCCCAATTATCCGAGTATTCAGCGTCAAACGTGAAAATTTGGAAATGTCAAAGCAGAAATTACGGAAGTGATCCAAAAACGACACCTAGCGGGTAACTTTCGAGTTCCGAGTGTCACAGAATAAAGGGAAAAGTCAGAGGACTACGAAAAGTTTGGGGGTTCTTCGATAGAAAGAGTCTGAGATCGATTTGATTTTTGTATAAGTGACAAGCCAATTTTGAATTAAACTGTAGCGAAAAATCTTAAATTATTCTCTAACAATTTAATATCGTAGGTTTTAAACAATATGAGAGGCAACTGAAGTTGGTGGTAAGAAATTTTTATACTTACTATGACCATTAAAACGACGAGAGCAACGAAGTAACCCTGCATACATCTCTGAAAATATCAAAATTTATAATTAAATGCTATTGTTCTCTTGTGCTTATGATTATGGTGTTCTGAGTTGAAAAAAATGCTGCAAAAGTACAAGATCAATTCCATTTATTTTGAAAGATTTCATGGGACGTTTCTGCGATTGTGATATGATTATGAAATTAAAATCTCAATTTTCAGTTTTCGTAAAATCAAAGTTAGTTTGTTATCCTATATCTTCTTATTTCCTATGCAAATGCCTCATTTTGTATTTCAGTGTATGTCTTCTTTCTGTTAATTGGAAAATACACGTAATTGTTTAATCTGATGAGTCGATTCCTTTTTTTGTTCCGTCGATTGTTTAAAACTGTTTCATCCGATTAGCCAATTGGCTTAAAAAATGATTTATATTTTATCTCACACATGTAATGTAAAGAATAACTTTTTCAATCATGCTACCCTCACACCCATTTACTTTTCGTAGAAATCTTTCTCTTGCAAGGTACTTGGCATTGTTGAATTAATTTTTAGCTATCAACTGGGACAATTGTTTATATACAGACACAGTACATGAATATCCCAATCAACAAGGTAAATAATATTACACCTGTAACACAGTGGTCATACAACCTGTAAAACGCTGTCGTTCATACTGATGTACTTACATGTAAACTTACTCGTATATAAAAACTTTATTTAAGGCTTTATCAATAAACATTTCTGAAAAGATTGGGAAAATATTAACAATCGTTGAATAAAGCTTACGGTTGCAGGCGATTGTTCATAATAAATTCCCTGTTCCAGGTCATTCTGTTTTCCTTTTAATAAACTTGATTTATCGTCTGCCATACTTTTCTATCATGTGATACAATTTATTGATAGCTACACTGTTATCATATGACAACATGGCTGATTCAAAATCAACTGAAGTTGATGCTATATATTATGAAGTATCACCATATATCGTAAGTATTTTAATAATATTGAACTTTCATGATAAAATTAAAAATCTTGTAAG